GGGAGGAGGGGAGGACAAGAACTATCTGGCGGGTAAGTTGGTGCAGACGATGTATTGTCCGCTATGAGACACTTGGCCTGTCTCATTGGCGTTCCAGACGAGAGATGGATGTCCAGCAATCCCACCACTCTGTAACCAGAAATTAGCCAGGCTTCTTGGAATATGAGGCTCTTACACTTCTAAATCCCGAGGCTTTGGCCATCTCTCTCTCTCTCTCTCTCTCTCTCTCTCTCTCTCTCTCTCTCTCTCTCTCAGTCTCTTCCTCCTACACACACGTATTGTCCTGTTTTCAGCTCTTTCAGGCTGTACCTTCCCAGTATAATCGTGGGACCCGACATTTTCGTTGACCGACTAAAGCTAAACCTTAACGCAAACTCTAAAGTAATCCCGAGCGAATCTTGCACCCCTCGAAGATCAGTTTGACTTTGAGCTTAGGTTTAACGACACTGTTCGCCTACGTTCATTTTGTGTGGCCAGGGGAAGGATCGATTGATAGCCTCTGTGACAAAAAGTGAAAATAGAAGGTGGCGTCACGACTGAAGACAAGACCAGAACCACCACCATCCGCCAGCGAAAGACACACACGGGAATTGTTACAATACAGTCCTTGAATGAGAGGAACGGCTTTGACAAAGCGAGACAGGAGAGTAGACAATAAAATAAACGGATAAAACAGTTTGAACATCTGTTAAGATTACCACTCGACAGTTTAGTTGAGCAGTGAGAGCATACAACAACTATAGATCAGATGGATACAGAGGAAGAGGTAGGCCTAGGAAAAGAAGGATAGAAGAACAGGTCAGCGAAACATTAGACAAAAGCAATACAACAGCCATGCAACAGACGATACAACAAACAAGCGAAAGACGTTTTCTTCTTTCCTCGACACCACAAGGTAACAGAGGCCTAATAAAAGTAAAGTAGGCAGACAAAAGAGTTACTGTCGAGGACACCAAAGTGTTTATTTCCGCTTCCGGTAGCAGGCGACGACGTTGAACATGCACATACTGCTGTAGTGACTCCTCTTCCGGCCAGACAGAACCCTCCTCTCCTCCTCCAGCTCCTGCAGGCCACTTACGATGTTCTCCTCCGCCGCCTGTAGGATCATCAGCTGTCGTTCCATCTCACGCAGCAGACTCGCTCGCCCGATCTTCCCCGGCAGAAGTTGCAGGGCCGATGCTTCCTGGAGAAACGACATGAGATATACATTATTATGTAGTATGTAGGGTAGCAGTAATGCAGCTTTTGGGACACCTGAATAGACATACGGGTCTTGAACATCTAGCTCTCACTGGCAAAATTGAGGGCTAGCGAGGCAGGGGTAGGCCCAGAACAACATACTTAGGGAACCTAAACAAATGGG